TGGGTAAAGGCTCGGTTAGTCGGCTAACCGCCGATTTTCAACCTCTGTTGGTCGGCTAGCCGAGCCTTCTCCCTTCGCTACCGACGACCGACCGACGCCATTGGGATCGGTTTTTCGGATAGCCAAAAACCGGACGGTTCGGTTGAAACCGTCCGGTTAGCCGCTAACCGGAAAACCGTCTGCCAGCCCTATCTTTAGCTAGGTCATCTCTATCAATTAATGATATCGATAGTCTAGATTTCATTTCTGATTTCTTCTATATGTTTTTGTGTGACTCAGATTATGGTTGGAATGAAGCTGATACTAGAAAAATCCTGTTTTGGCGTCAAAACGCAGGTCACAGTTAAGAGAAATGAAATAATGCCGCTTAATGCTAACAAGTAACATCCATATGCTACTTCTCAATTTCCAAAAGGCTACTTTTAAGTGTTTCCTCTCCATTTTATCTCATCATGATTTCTGGTTGATGATGATGGATCAAAACCTTCAAAATCTCCCCACATGGATCGACTGTTGAAACCTGGGGAAGGACGTTAATTCTTATTAATTAATATTTTGGGTCGGTAATTACATGATTAAAAATTGTCTTGGGAAAGGGTTGAACAGTTCCAGACTTAAATCACATTTTGACTATGAATCCGTCGTGTGCGGGCCGAATAACCGGGCCACCGCCCAGTGTTGACTGTTGGAAGATATTTTTTTTCTTCTTTGGCAAGGTCGACACTCGACAGAGAGGGAATCAAGCAGGTTGGTTAAATCACTGGTATGTAACCGGATTCAATCAAAATTTTACAAAATGAGATGGAAGATCACCGGTATGAAACGGTAGTTAAACCAGGTAAAAAAAATCAAAATTGAGAAAAAATGAATTGATCCGAACGGTCGATGACACCGTTTTCATAGAATTAACTAATGAAAAGAAAGAAATTTGTTGAATTCAATTATGAACATTTAGATGCTATGTTATTTATTGGATTCAAAGTATAAATATTTGGATGTTGACGTTAAATATTGCATTTAAATATGATAATTTGTTATTTTATTTATAATATAATATTTTATTTTAATATAATATTAATATAATGGTATATTGTCTCAAGATAGAATATATAAATGCATAATTATGAATGGTTCTCACTTCCTTGTTTTGTTAGAACTAACAAAAAAGTGAGTGCACCGAAGTAGCCACCATAAACAAATTGTTTTCTGATTGGATCATATTGTCATAAACCCCAGGGGCGGAGCTACCTTGTGCCTCGGGGGGGCCCCGGCCCCCCCGAAAATTTTGGAGATCGCGTGTAAAAATATCGGAAATTTTGAAAATTCTGAAGAAGTTAACTATTGTAAAATAACAATAACGTGCAATAATGAACAACAATGTTTGGGTCTAGTCTAATGGAATGCAGCTGCTTGGTATTTGTGAATACCCAGTACCATGGTTCAATTCCTGACAGCAACATTGTTTTTAAGTTTTCCTACTTTAGTTGAATTTTTGTTTAAAATTTAGATTGATCACTTAACTTTTGTACTTATTTAAATACTTTTTAATTTCAAAGTTCAAACTAGATAATGAAATTTTGGAGCTTATAATATTTTTCTAATTTAGATAATTAAATTTTGGAGTCTAGATAATTAAATTTTGAAGCTTATGACTCACAATGTAAATATTTTCTTAATTTTTTTTACGAATATTATACAATAAAGTCCGGCCTCCCCGACCACTGGATCCTAGCTCCGCCCCTGCATAAACCCACTGGTCTCAATAACTCGAGTTGTTGGGAGAGGACCCATGTATGGTACTTAATCACTTCCTTACACACCCTCTCAAACGAAAGTCGGCTCACGGGTAGGGGTGGACAACGGGAAACGGGTATTTGGGTATACCCGTACCCGTCCCGTTTTTTGAGGGTTACGGGTACCCAAATACCCGTTTTATTTATTGCGGGATGGGATTTGGGATTGTAAATATCAACATTGGGTACCCGCGGGTATCCCGTTAATACCCGTTTGGATAATATGGGTACCCGTTATACCCAATCTACACTTTAACCTAGCCCAAATCTGAAACTTCCAATGAATGGCTATAAGTTAAATTTGACGAAGTAAAAAGCTCAAAACTTTATAACCTCATTTGAGCTTTATGCTAGTTTTGTTTGAAATTCGTGGGTTTCTACGACATTGAACGTATAGCTTACTTTTCTTGAATTGTAAAACATAAGTATGGTTGCTTTCATGTTGTTCCTCCCAAACTTATCTGGAGCCACTTATGCATTGTGCTATCTTTAGGAGTATTAGTTATTGTTATTGATGGTGTGTTGTCCATGTGGTCCTTGTAGAATTAGTTACTGATCTGTCACTACTTAGGCTGGGGAAATTGTAATGAAAACTTTGACCGAATAATAATTTGCTATTATCAAAATAAAAATATAAAAACAAAAAGCATAAGTTGCATTGTCGATCCACTTATCTCAATACATCTCTTTAAGAGGATTCATGGCTTTTGCTTCTTTAGCTATCTATTATATTCGTTATCACTTTAAGAGGATTCATGGCTTTTGCTTCTTTAGCTATCTATTATATTCGTTTCATAGTGCTGCTTGAACACAAAAACCTTGCATTGTTTTTGTTTCTAAGTGAAATTTTGGTAATTGTTCTCATGTTGAACGGGTATAAATGGGTAGTTTGGGTACCCATTATCCGTCCCGTATGAATTAACGGGTACCCGTTACCCGTACGGGTTTGGGATATGGGATGAACTATGATCTTCAAATGGGATTGGGTACCCGTTTCAAACGGGACGGGTACCCAATCCCGTCCCGTTTTCCACCCCTACTCACGGGCTTGAAATTTGCACTGGCCCGCCATACCATGTGCTTAAAGACAAGCAGTTAATATTTCGGGTCGCGAGGACTTGAACACGTCAGCTCAATAATAAATCAGCTTTAATACCATGTCATGTCATGTCATAAACCAACTAATCTCAATAACTCAATTATTAAAAAATCCATATATGATATTTAACAACTTCCTTAACATATCACTTACTAAACAACCAATTTGACAACTTCAAGATAAAGAAAGAATATAAGAAATAAAGAATAAAAAGAATGAAACTGATACAGTGTACAGAAAAAGAAAGGGTTTAAACTTTAAAGGAAGATGGGAATAAAGTAATGACAAGTGGCAGAAGATAAACAGCCCCACACACAAGGTTGTCAACCCGCGGGTTGACCCGGACCCGGTCGAGCTAGTGGGTCAAGGGTTAATGGGTCAACCGTTTTAGCCCGGTTTGGCCCGGAAATATAGAAAGAGTCATTATATTGTACTTATCCTCATAAATTATATCAAATCTTATCTAACATATGAGTTATAACATATAATATTACACCAAAATAACATATCGTACGTAGATCCAACATATAGTGAAAATTCACACACACTTATATAACATAAATATTCAAATGTTCAACTTAGTATTCCAAAGATTGAGTTAGGCGAAAAGAAAAATTGGAAAATAGGCGCATTTCACAAACTAAAGAAAAAAACGACACAATTAGGCCTCCAACCCGGCACCTTATAGCGGTCAGCCCGGCGGGTGCGTGCGGCCCGTTTTTCTCACCGGGTCAGGGTCAAATTGGGTCGACCAGTGGGTCAACCCGCGGGTTGACAACCTTGCCCACACACCTAGAAGATATCCCCACCCCTTGAATGTCGGCAAGTGGGCTGGGCGAATGCTGATCGTCCGCGTGTCCTATCTAAAAATCTGGTGCCATATAGTTATCAATAAAGTAAAGGGAAAAAGGCCTTCAACGAAAAAAAAAGGCCCATAAAGAAAAGGCAAAAACATGGCGAATCTCTGATCTGCTATTGTCTTCTTTTTGTGCTGTTTGAGTTAATCACATATCGTTATTGCGATATATATTTTTCTCTTTTTAGATATTTTTTCATTTATACCACTAAATACCTTTATCAATAAATTATCAATATTTTTCGAACCACCCATATTATTTTGGTTTATGTAAAAATTTCATTAAATATAATTTTTATTTAATGTTAACAATGCCATTTACCTGACAACTAAATTTTTTTTTCCTCAACAATCCATAAAATCAGAACATTTGATTGTTTGGAATCTAGAGGTTTAGACTCCTATTATCCAAACGAGCTCTTAGGAGTTGTTTGATGAAAAGGATGTGGGTCATGGATTCTACAAACTCATAGGTTCACTAGAAAGTTATATTTTGTTGATTTATTTGTATCATGAAATTTAGCTAAAATCAACATAAATTGATATAAACCGATTTTACCATCAGTCAAACCATACCATTTGTCAAACCGACATGATGGTATAAATTGGTTTGACAACGTTTGCATCAATTCACTTTTTCATATATGAATTACCCAGTTAGTAATTTTTTATTTATATATTTAAATCATATACAGCGACACACCTAATCCTTTTTTCTGTATCTGACATCGGTTGCGTTTCCATGTGATCGACCATAGCATCTTTTTTTTTTTTTTTTTTTTTTGATCACTTGATCGACCATAGCATCAAACTTGTGAGTTGGTAACAAGTCCACCTTTTTTCCCTTTAATCTTAAATCAGCCCTCCTTGTTGATTGATCGATGATCCCAATTTATTTGATTGACTACTCCAAATAAATAGTACTTGGAGTTTAATCCAATTCCAAATGACCTTAGCCAGGTCCTAAGACTAGGAGCATTTATATCTGTAGCATATAGAACAAGTTAATACGGAGGCATGCATGACCCACCGACTTCTTTAAAAGTAATTGCACACAAGTGGCATGCATGTCGACCACCGGTATTTTTCAATTTACTAAATTTTTTTATAAATATAATAGAGAGTAGAAAATAATAATAATAATAATAATAATTGAGAAATGGATAAACTTTCCAGATCTGATGCCATTTAATTATCCACAGAGATATGATAAAGAAAGAGAGAGACCCGTCTCGAGACGTACGTGTTCATTATGCGTATAGACTAGTATAGCCTTTCTTCTTTCTTCTTCACATTTGGTTGGCTATAAAGAGCGAACCCAACAGCACTCTGTTCTTCATTCATATTTTCCACTTACAACTAAAACTAAACCGAGGAAGAAAGAGCAGAGAGAGATCAAAGAATGGCGGGAATCATCCAGAAGATCGGGGAGAAGCTCCACATGGGCGGTGGAGCAGAACAGCACAAGGACACAAAAGACGAGAAGCAGCACTCCGGCGACGCCCACAAGCAGCAGGGCGAGCACAAGGAAGGCATCATCGACAAGATCAAGGACAAGCTCCCCGGCGGCGGCGGCGACCACAAGGAAACCGCCGGCACCCACGACGGCGAGAAGAAGAAGAAGAAGAACAAGGACAAGAAGAAGGACAAGAAGGACCACGACGGGGGACACGACAGCAGCAGCAGCAGCGACAGCGACTGACCGCCCCGGCTGATTTCTCTTAATAATCAAGGTGATCTGAATCTGGGGATCAGATCTAAAATCGATTTCTCCGAATCTAAACTCAATTTGTTTTTCCTTGTTCATGCTCAGGGTTTTACTGCAGAGCTATGTGCGAAGCTCCATCTCACACAACGTTTGCCTGCTTGCGTTGTGTGGAACTATTTAGCTAGAATAATCGACCCATGCTGTTTTTCTTCTTCTTATTTTGGATCTGGTTTATATCCCATAGGTATTCCGCCATTTCACTGTTGTGAGCTATCCGCTTTTATTATGAATGTGTCTCGCTTGATTGTGTGCCTCTGCTAATCTCTGTTTTATGCTCTTATTAAGGCTCCTTATCTAAGCTACCTGTTCCCTCTTTACAGTTCAACTAAAATGCCACCCAAGAGTGTGGAAACTGAGGGAGGTTGAAAACATCCTAGGCCAAAACTAATAAATTTTAACAACTCTTACTATCAATCAATACCTATTATGGAATCTCAAACTTTAATCAATATAGTTTTAATGATCCCCACCGAAAAAAAAAGGTTCATCTAACTTTGTTGATGTCGCATAATGAACTTGCCCCGGTATGTACTTTCAAGTTTACTTTCATGAAAGCAAGTGATATCCATCTAAAAAAGAGGAAAAAAATCATCCTCATGTTAATTCCTCAACTCATTCTGTTTTGGATGATATTGACCCTTCATTGCAGCTCATGTTAACTATTTATTTCTTAGATGTTATGATACAAAATTTTAAATATTTGTAGTACTACAAAACCTAATCCAATGGTTATAATTTGAGAATGGAAGATCAAATAGTCCACATCATAAAAGGGAAAGGAGGAAAATAAGAGGGGCTACCTAGATTTGTTGCCCAACTGTCTGGATTTGGAGCGGACTGACACAGATTCCTAGGCCATTTTCTAATTGCATACGAAAATTCAACGGACTATAACACATTCATTTTAGGGATTTTTTCAGAAATAGCACATTTTAAAAAAAATTACAAAAATAGCACCCAGCCGAAAATATTTACAAAAATAGCACCCTTTTTTATGGACCGCACCTTAGAGGTGCGTTTTATATATAAACCGCACCCTCCAGGTGCGTTTTATATATAAACCGCACCCTCCAGGTGCGTTTTATATATAGACCGCACCTCTAAGGTGCGGTTTATTATCCTGGACCAAAACTGCATATTGGCCATGCGGTTTCAGGTCTGACCTACAGAAACCGTGTGGCCGAGGTGTGGTTTTGGCCTGACCTAGCAAAACCGCACCTTGGAGATGCGGTTTGTTTCTCCGAGCCACCTTATTAATAAGACAATAATGAAACTACAATAAGCTAAAACACAAGGGAAAATGTGTTATGAAAAACATGATGGGTTATGAGAAGTTTACCTTGTACCATAAGCTTCACCTCTTAGGGGATGATCGATTGGCCAATCCCTGTCAGGACGTTGGACCGGTGCAATCCATGGCATATGCTCCCAAACCCAAAGTTGGACGATGAACATTGCGCCGCCGACCTTCCTCACAGCTTTTAGAGACGCATTGCACAAATTGTGGTAGATATTAGCTAGGCAAGCGGATGCCCAGCTATACTCCCCCATCTCCTCCCAACTACCAAGGATGATCCTAAGCCATCCACAGCTAAGGAGATTGCTTGATTTTTTGGAGAAGAACACTCCTCCGATCATGCCTATGAGATAGACACGAGCATATGGGTTAGGATGGCGACATCCTTTAGCGTGATGGTGGTCTCTCCTTCTCTAAAGTTGAAACAATGGGTCTCCTTTATCCATCTGTCAACTAATGCGGTGATGAGTTGGCGATCGACTTTGATGCCGTTAAAATGCCTAATCGGTTCCATTTCACACAACGTTTGCCAGAGTGCTTGCTTTGTGTGGAACTATTTAGCTAGAATAGTCGACCCGTGCTGTTTTCTTCTTATTTTGGATCTGGTCATATCCCATATGTATTCCGCCGTTTCACTGTTGTGAGCTATCCCTTTATGTATGTCTATGTGTCTCTGCTAATCTCTGTTTTATGCTTATTAAGACTCCTTATCTAAGCTACATGTTCCCTCTTTCTAGTTCAATCAAAATGCAAACCAAGAGTGTGGAAACTGAGGGAGGTTGAAAACATCCTAGGCCAAAACTAATAAATTTCAACAACTCTTACTATCAATCAATACCCAATATAGAATCTAAAACTTTAATCAATATATACTTTTAATGATCCCCACAAAAAAAAAAAAAAAAAAACGGTTCATCTAACTTTGTTGATGTCTCATAATGAACTTGTCCGGGTATGTATTTTACAACTTAAAACTCCATTGGGAAGAAATTTTGAGTTCTATCACCCATATCGTCGGTTTGTTGATGATAGTAAGCGAGTCCTCTACCACTCCTAGTGTGGCCATAGTTGAATAAAAACTTGTAATTCGACACACTTCCCCAAAACAAAACCCCTAAAATTCAAAACTGAGATGACAAATCTCTAAAATATAGGGATACACATTCAGAACTCCAAATTGATGGGTTTTGAATTTTCGAGAGTGATTTCTGGAAGGACAGGTCGAACATTTCACCTTTTTAATTGCAACCTCTGAGAGAAGGCCATTGACACGCTAAAACACAACACCTAACAATGGCCAAGTGTAACCAATGAAAGGGAATGCAGTATAGGCAAGTTTAATTATCAACCCGGGGTCTAGATCTACTACTTACTCCGTGATTCTCTATTATCTAGCAAACTAAGTCGAGTGATTGTTGTGAAAAGTAAAAGCAACAAGTAAGCAGTAAATTGTTCGGGTTTCTAAAGCAGGTAAGAGTCACTCGGGGATTGAGTCCCCCTAGCCCCTTAGTTAGGTTCAATTGCAATTCCCTGGGTTGATTTACTGTTGATTAGACTGCGGAAGATCCGACAGTAGCTTGGAATCTCTTAAGCTGACCAAGCCCTCTCAGTCTAACTACCCGGCAGACGACTAGTCTTCACCGGGATAGAAAGCTGAGGCTATGAACACAGAACTCCACTACTGGCGTCAAGAACACCAGTACAAAGCAGTAAACTGGCTAACTCTCGTATAGCCAATCTCCTACTATCGAATGAAGAGGCTCTAACAACCTAATCAGATTCTATCTATCTCAGGTTGCAGCAGAAATTGAGACAAGTTGATCAGACTCAAATCAATTCACGAAACATGCGTCATTTGATTAAAATCAAACAATAATATCATCCCAAGTCATTACAATCAAATCCCTAACACAAGGAACTAGGGTTCTTCATACCCAAGTGAGAGAAGGGTTCTACTCCATAGAGAGAGAAGAGAAAACAAGAATCGAATTAGTCATACTCATAACGATGAGGATAATCTGCTCCGGGACGATGATTTTCACTCCTATGACGATCCCCAAGCTCGATTCGATGAAATCCAGCTCTAAGACAGCTTCTAGGATGTGTTCTTCGCACTTTCTCTCTCTAGGGCTCTGTTTTTGCTCTGGAAACACGATTCCCCCACTTTTGGCTCGGATTAGGCTTTAAAACCGGCTTTCCCGAGTTGCACGGCCAGGTGCACGGCCGTGCACATCACCATTCTGGCCGTGCACCCTGAAACGCACCGTTTCACTTAATCGGCCTTTAACCATCCTGCACGGCCAGGTGCACGGCCGTGCAGATCTTCAGGGGTGCCCGTGTAGCTCCTCGGCATAAGGCGCACGGCCAGAGTTGCATATTGCACGGCCGTGCAGCCTCCCTGGTCTGCCCGTGCAGCTCTCCAAAAGGCTCGCCATTCGTCCGTTCGTCGTCCAATCAACCCCAGACTCGCTCCTAAGCCTTCATTCACGTACTAGGACCTGAAATATCACAAACAAGCACAACCTAGCGTGAAATCGGCCTAAAACACGAGAATCAACACCTCAAACGTTGTAAGTATGAGGGTAAAAACATGTGTAAATGACGGTCTATCAAACTCCCCCCACACTTAACCGTTTGCTTGTCCCCAAGCAAACCAAGTCAGACACTAGGTAAGCTTACATATTTCAATCAACCAACATTGGGGACAAGTCATAAAGGCACAAAACACGTGAATCGCACTGGTTTTCAAACATCAATACATGCACAACCTCAATAACAACCTGGACAACCACCACAAAGGACATTCGAGTGCAGCAAATCGAGTAAAGGAAGAGTCTCCCGTCTGTTCACTGGCCAACCTAGACTTGATTCAACCACTTACTCAAAACAGTCAACTCATGCATCCAACTCAAGACATCAGAATAGAGACCGAGCAATCTAGGTCCTCAGCGGGGTACAAGAGCATATAGAAAATGAAAATGAATCACTCACTCTCGACCAGTGGGGTCAGGACAATTTGATGCGAAAGATGCGCATGCTATTTCTCTCAATCCCTATCATCTCTTCACCATGATGGCAGCCTCTAAATGCTAGAGTTCACATATGGGGTGTCACCACTAACTAATCAGGAGGTCTTAGACACAGGTTCAAATGACTGGCTAGGGTCTTGGACATGGGGAAAAGGCCTTTTAGGTGGTGGAAGTATTCATAGCAAAAGGTTCCACATTTCCCAAACACACAATCACAGTCAAACAACCCGGTATTTTCTTTCTGCTATTCTGCATTACTCAATATCTTAAGAGCACAAGAGCGAAAGAGGCATAAACATCAGCATTTCCAAGCCAGACTGCTAAGAAACACTACTTACTGGGCATTATTCAGATTTTTAGTAGTAGCTCTCTTTTGCTTTCAATTTTGTTCTTTGTTTCATTTTTCTTTTCATTTCTTAAGAGAGCCACCACTTCTGCATACATTTCAAACACCTGCCCAACTTTTAAGCACTACCTCCAACACTCACATAGACTCTAGCAGAAACAACAGAGAATATATAAAAACCACTCTGTGGAACCTTCTAAAAGATGCAACAAGGGTGATTTTTTCCATTATAGACCAAAAGAAAGGATAACACACGGCTCAAAGGGGCTGACTAGGGGATATGACACATCAGGACAGTCAGTTTTGGGCGTGGGCTAATCCTATGCCCAATCATCTTAGCTAGTGACAACGTGAATGCTACACATCATGGAAGAGGGATCTATCGCACAAGAAAGAAACGAGCAGGCTCAAATCTCACATGGATACCTATATGCTCTATCTCACATTCTGATACCCTGAACTAGATGCATAAACGACTGTCAAGAACAAGTAATCAGATCAAGTCAGATCAAGTCACAGTTGGCAAGCAAACAGTTGAAAAACTGAACCCCTACATCATTCTACTGCACATCTCAGTCCTCATCATAGGTTGTCCTAGTCG